GGGAGATTCCACAGGTGGACAAATAGAAGGCCACCTATACAGGGCAGTCTTCTATAGAAGTCTACAGTCTTAGCACTTCATACATTTTCCAGTAGAATGAAAACAGAAAAAAGAAAATTTCTGTTTTTAAGCATGTTGCAGTGCTTGAAAGAATTATGCCTAAAGGGGATGAACGGGATAAGAACTTTTCAGCTCCATGTTTATAGTCTGAATACAGCCAAGGTTTGTAGGCTTAAATAAACAATCAATGAAGTTTCATGGTTCTCTCTTTTTTTGTCTTGCTTTGTTCAGATAAGATGCAGCCCGGATAGCGCTATGATACGATTTGTAATGGTAACTAGTTAGAAATTTAGCAGAGGAAGTTGGTCCAAGTGGATTCTACAGGTGTCATTCTGGACATGTTTGGATGTGTTTGATCTGTGCTTTGATCTCCTGAAGAAAGATTTTTAATATACAATATATATATTTACACACGCACAGACTTTGCCTTGTTTCCTTTACTCTGAACCTTTTTTCTTTTTATAGCTTTACTTCCCCTTCAAGCTCTCTTCAATACTTGTTTTTCCCTCTTAATTCTCAGGAGAAACTTTAAAAAGGTACCTTTGCAGAGAGAAGAGTAGTCAGTTCTAACAGTGTAAAACAGATGAAAACAGCAGCAAACGACAGGAGAACAAAAGAAACTAATGTCTTGACTCTGTACCAACGTTGCTGTGAAAGGATGGGTGAGCAAACGAGCAGCGCAACACTTGCACCAGCTGAGGCTGAGCGAGAGGGCACTCCCCCTTGGAGCTTACTCCTCTTCAGTTTAGCAGTACAATAAACTACAGCAGAAAATGAAGCCAAAATTAAAAGGAGCAGTAAGGACAGTCGGCTGTCACACAAACTGCAGAGAAGCAGTTTGCACATTCATTAAATAGGTGTTTACCTCATTTATTTACTTTAGACACCATATTTTTCAATCACTGCATAGGAATGCATCCTAGCATTTATTTTTATCTTCTTAGAATTCTGGAAGTGAAGGAACTGCTATCAAGTTCACCAAGAGATTAAGTGAATTCTTCTGGGTTACTCAAAAGCAAAAAATCCTATACTATTACAGATCGTATAGTCAGGGAAGGTCATAACATATCTGGAATCAACTCAAGACTTCATCACAGATCATCATTTAGTTGCACGCTTTACTCTTGTTTCTTTACATATTCCATTAATCTCATCTTTGAGCTTGCTCTTCAGAGTAATTTTAACGTAATCATGATAAAGCACATGTTTTAAAATTCCTTCCTAGTAAGGTGGATGCTCTTCTCACTGGTTTGAAACTTCATGTACGTTTTAAGTGCTACATAATCATGTTTCACTCCCTAAGGTAAACGGCCCAAGTAAACAAAAAGATAGCAGGATCATTAGTTATGCAGATATAAGCATACATTAAAACAAAAACAAACCCACCCCAAAGGCTCCCCCCCACCCTTCCACTAGATATTCTCACACCCCCACTTTGATAAACTGGCAAGATTCACAAAGAATAAACCAAAAGCAATTCAATATAGGACACTGCAATAGGGGAACTAGTCTGAAATAAGTTTATCTGCAAGGACTCAGAGAACGTCAGGGATTTTAAGCTAAGATCAACAACATCTCAATTTCTGTAGAAGTGATGTTATCACATAACATTAAACTGCAGACAAGACTTGAAAGAATTGTCTTTTGTTTATAAGCAGACCATAAGAAAAATGGTTTTCCATAGAAAGACAGAATACCGGCTGATCTATCTTAATGACAGTTTAAAATAATGTTCTCAAAACTTCTTAATAGCTTACTTTATGTTGACAGTATGCTTTTATTAAAATGGGACCTGAAACAAACTAATGCACAGGATTTTACAGAGTTCCACTGTTCCCAACAGTCTACTAATAATTTTCATGCTATTTAAATAAACCAGTAACGTGTGTACACATGAGATCTTTAGCTATGGTTTTGAGCGAGACGGGTTAGACGGCTAGGATTGTTCAGACTGTTTAAACAAATCACACCTGGCTCAAACTCATGTCTGCAAATGCTGCCCGTAACTACAAATGCCAGTTGCAATGACAGCAATCTAGCAACGTTGTCAGGTATATCAATGGGTGGTCAAGGCTTCTAAGCTGTCCTGCTCTATCAAACCATCTGGCTTTCAGCAATGTAAAAAGTAGCTTTTTGCTTGACTTCTTGCTGCTCCTCCAACCTACCAACTTCCCATTGCTACTGAACTGATGTTTGGGATATACTCTGACTTAAGAGAGATGAACTGAAACAGATTCAAAGGGCTAGGAGGATGAATGGGAAAAGAGGACATAATCTTATAAGAAATTTTAATAACTTCAAAACATTGGCAACTCTTTCATTGTTAACACAATGATCATTGCAAGGTAAATATTCTACTAACTGAGTAATTAGTACAAACATCTTTCCATTACTTCTGCTATCATTTTCCAATTCCACAATATTTAATACAAACTTTGCTAATATATTGTTTCAAAGATGTCAATTGGTAAGTTTTTACATTGCAGCTAACATCATCCCTTTCATCGTCCCTCTTACTGCAGTTCTATTTGCATAGAACCACACATTTATTTCCAGATTTTTTTCAGAAGTCATTTGGTATGTCTGGACTTAACGTAGTTTAGCAGAAGGAACCTTCCCGTTCATCTTGAATCTTTAAGATTATCATTTTTCACAAGCAGCAAAAACTTGCTTTCATCTAAGTTGCTTTTAGAGATGATCCAAAAGAACTGAGATGACGTGAAATAAAAATGTAAGAAAGATTAAAGGATGGAAAGTTCATTCAACAGATGAATTTAAAAAAAACGTACATGAATATCCTTCTAAAAGGGAGGAGGATGTATTTCTTCATATGAACCTCTACCAAGGTCAAAGCGATCCGAGTGAAGCACTAAGGGCATCACACAAGTACTCCTATAGATGTTGCAGCTCACAGTCAAAGTACGTTTGCAAGCACTCATTTCCAAGTCTCCAGCTGGTTATGCCTACAGCTTTCTGCATCTTACTATTGACTGTGAAAACTCTAAAGTATTTAAGAGTTACCCTGTCCTCCTAGGTCTGAATATTACCTCATCTATTACCCTAAATGCTTTTTCCATTAACTAAGTTTTTGTTTTGTTTCATTTTAATTCAACACATTGATCCAGAATCTTCTGGAGGCTCCACAATTAAAAATAGATACAACTTTAGTAAGAGTAAAATGCCTATCATTTTCCAGTATAACCTATTTAGTTCACGCTATCTCTGAACGAAATACTGTTTTCTAGCCTTCCCCTCTTACACTACTTGTATCTCATTTGTTAGGATTCAAAGGTTAAATTTTAAATTGTATAAATGTTACCAAAAACTACAGGAAGATAAGGTTATGCAAGACTAACCTATCAACTGAAGAGTTTATAGGAAAATTTCAACAAACTAAGAACAAGACTTTGCTGATTTCAAAGTATCAATAGCCATCTAACGCCACCACAGCCATGACCGTTATGATATCATTCATTCTACTACAAATAATATGCATGATACCAGTAACCAATACATTTATTGCACAAAAATTATTCATGCACTTCAGTAAGGTACTGTAGTGTAAATAAAAGAGAAACAAGATCCAGCAGATAAAAACCAGCAACAAGACATTCTGGAAAAAAATCTTTAGATAGAATCCAACACTGAATTTGTTAGCTATCTAGTTTCTTCACAGTATCTTTCGCTACCTCAAATAATCAATTAAAATTTAAACTAAGGTAAACGTTTTTAATTCACACTGAGTATTTCTTCTTTGAATAACAACTGTACTAAGTAGTATAGCAAAATTCTAAAGTTACATAAGAGGCATTCAGAAGCGCATACATGCATTCTGCAATGATATGTCCTTCTGCTGACATTTATAACATCACATTTTGCTAATTCAGACGCTGCAGGTGCAAATTGGCCCTACAAGTAATTCTCTGGTGACAACAAAGACTGAATAGTCCCGCAACATGGCAGTAGGCATTACAGAAACTGAACTTTCATCCTTAAAGTCATTTTAAAACTACAAACACATTTTTCAACTTGAGGTATTTCCAGATGCAACCCAAAGAAATTGCACAACCCTAACTGGTACAGTCCCACTTTTTAGCTAACCGTGACGCTCACAACTTCACCTTCTTTTCTAGGGCTTGACTGCTGTTGTATGCATTTACTGCTAAAATAGAAGAGCAAGAAGTACACGAACGGTACTGAGGACTGCCACACAACGCTACCTACAATCCTTTTGAAGGAAAGCAACTCCCTGCCACGCTTGCCCTTATCGCTTTCGGTTTTCTATGGCAGGCCTACAGAAAACACATAATCAGTAGAAAGACAATATCGACTCAAAGGAATAGAAAAACGCTAAAGGGAGCTTTGCCCCCATCACTTTAAAGCAGAGAAAAACAAAAACGCTCAACTATGCGCGCATCTCTTATTGTTGTTTTAATGTCAGAAGTTCCAAGGTACCTTTCTGAAAGCAGCCCATAAACCAGAAAATAGTAACGCAGAAGAAAGAATTTGCTTTCTTAAGTCTCTTAGGATTTTCTTTTTATTCAGACAGATGTTTGAACTTGTTAGGCATCACAAGTTCCAAACATTGAGAAATAACTAGGCGTTATCTGGCAGAGCGGAAAAAATAAACCTGTGAACTGCTGAATCGGTGCAATGACGATAGTGCTATTTCTCATGAATAAACTCATTTCAAAATAAAGTTTTGGCAAAAGCTGGAGCGATCACCCTTTGTAGAAGCTCTGTACATGAGAAGTTATTTTAATCACTCCCTGTTAATATCTGAAACCTCTGTATTGCATGTTTGTCTTCTGAAGAACTCTACTTAGCACCTGCATTTTAGAATATGTACAGTTTTACTCTTCAAGTGCAGCTCGACTCTGGAATTCAGAGACTTGTGTGCAATTCTAAACTGGAAGTTAGAAACCATCATATATTGTTACCTCCAAGACAGCCAACAAGTGATAGCAGGAATAGCTGTTTCCACAGCAGCAGCATCTTCATTTGCCAAAATTTAGTAATTTTGGTTCAGCCTCAGATGAATTGTACCTTTAGTCTTCCAAGAGAAAGGGTTAGCCTGTTAAAAGAACAGATACACAAGAATCACCACAGGATTCACACTAAGAACTAGGTTCCTTATAAATGCTGTTTTTAAATGAGAATGACAGGCCGACCTCGTGAAATTCCTCTTTCTTTCTTTGATGGAATTCTGAACAGAAGAGTACAGATCACATTTCACGTGTACAGTCTGTTAGAAATTATATATTTCAGCAGGTTTGAGCACAGCTAATGGGTAAGCTGCTTTTATGGTTAGCCTGCTTCCCCCCACCCCAATCTGCGATACTTTTATTTTCATGAAACAGTAGTTTTAAAAGATGAGAGAGTACACGAGGTGCAATCATACATTCTAAAGGATGCCGGAAGCGTAATACATTAGCATTAAAAAGGCACAGTTTTTTCAGTATTTCTCTGTATCCACACTTTTGTTACAAGAACAGGTTATATTCCACTTGCTTTGTATACACTATTCTAGCAACAGTCTGAACGATAAAGCATTTGCCATGGTTAGCCTGAGTATGTTTTTTTTTTTTTTTAAATCTTTACAAGTCTTTTTATTTAAGTTCTGAGACTACTGTGGCCTTTATGCTTTGTATATGTCACGTCCATAACATTCTTTTTCTTCAAAAGAAGGGTAGCTAGGCAAAATTTAAGGTCCTGCAATGTACAGATCAGATTAGACCAAATGGCTCTTCCTGGCATTAAAGTCTATGGATCATTGCACAGAAACATGAAGGTCAAAAAAGCAGCCATTCATTTTGAGGAGGCAATTCAAGATGGCTGGATGTGGTTTTCCAGTTTATTTCACATTACAGTTAAAATTGTCAGTATTTCTGAAGATCAGGTGCCTGAATTTCAAGCCAAGAACCCCAAAAAAGAGATTACGCAGAAGACCACCTACAATATATTTCCTCGTCTCCCCAGGTGACTTGGCAGAAGTCATCTGTTTCCCAGGAAAACATTGCATGACCCTTGCTGCATCTTTTCCTCTGTCCGTAATTCTCCAACTCACGCAGAGTATACTATCAACTTCTGTAGCAAGGCACACGGGGACTCTATTGACAGTGTCCTCCACAGTGGCATAGGTATTTTCTTCAAAAACGTTTCTATACGTTTCTAAAAAAGAAACTAAACAAAAACATTCTCAAATTCCTATCAGGTAATAGGTACTGATCACATAAATTTGCAAGTTCCTGTGTGATTAACCTCATGGGTCTGAGCCATGAAAGAGAATGAAAAGCACAATCCCTACAAGTGGATCATACTCGGGGAGGATCAATAGTAAGAAAACAGTTTGACATTTTGCCAGTGAATTTCACAGGTATCTGCTGCTAGCAAAGCAAAGCAGGTACAAGAGCACAGTTTACTTTAGAGGGTACAGCAATTCCAAAGTTGCGAAAAACGAGGAAAAAAAAAAACCCACCATCAAGTTACGTTGTCTGTATCAGATGGTCTCAAGTAAAGTCAAGAACCATGCCCAGTTCTCATAGACCAAGATCTGAATAAGCAGCTTAAGAAGCAGCAGCTAAAACGGTAGTGATTTCTGAAAGCAGTCATGTAAGTATAATGACTTCTGATAACTTCACATAAAAAAACACCATTGGTCTGGCAACATTACAACTCTTTACTGCAGCTGAAAAAGTCCAAAATCAGACGTACATACCAAGGAGATCACATAAGCAAAGAAAGATAATATATCTGTTCTGCTTAATATTTGTAGGCTTGAGAACTTTCTTTTTTTTTAAAGAGAAAATAGAAATTGTGTTTCCAAAGGCTATCTCCCCTAACGAACATTTTCCAGGGGGCAATCACGTACTTTAGAGGATGGAACAATAAAACACCAGCCAAAGGTACAAGCCTCAGTCACACTGCTTGAGGACTTACTGCTCTGACAGATAGCTAATTTGCCGTGATTGTCAAACACCATCCTGTATTCAATTTACACAAGGGAAGGCATGTTTGATAATGTATTGAAATGTACTCATAATTGAAAGGATGTGCATAGAATCTGAAATGCAGAACAGGCAACAACTGAAACAGGCTTACTTGACTTAGAGCAATCTCCAGCAGAAAAGAGCAAGGGGCTCTGGTTCTGCTTAAGTTCTATTCATGTGACAGCTGCATGACATGAACTTTTTGTTTATTTACTTTCTTACTTTCCCTTCAAGAGCCAAAACCCTGGAGTGGTTGCGTGGCAAGAGAGCTTACCTGACATTTGCTCTTTCTCAGTGACAGATTTCTGACCATTTCCTAGACTGCCACGAGAAATGAACACCTTGAAAATCCTAAGTACTTGCATTTTGCATGTTGCTTCTGTAGTATCATCTGTAAGGAGTTTATCAAATGGAATAAATAATTTCTGCACGCTGGCACTGTAATACAACTGGGAAACTACTAGCACAAGCTCTGGTGCTGTAGTTGTACTGTACGTTTACTGAGGGCTTTCCAAAGATAATCATGTTCCTTATCCTACTTTCCTTCTAGTCAACAGGTACACTCTCTGAAAGGGCTAAAGGAAGTTCAAGCTTTTCAACAATCTGCATGATCAGACAATAAGTCTGATAAGAAGTAGATATGAATTACTTCTGGTGGAGGTATTTTACAAATGAAATATTAAAAAGCTACACAGACAAAAGTATGCAATTATGCAAGCCATAAGAAGAAACAAACAAACAAAAAATAGAGAGTTAGGAAAGGCAAAAGAGAAAACAATGAAGCAAAAGGATGAAAAATATCATGGCTAGAGATGAAAACGGTTAGAAGGAAGAGGAGAGGCAGAGAAAGAGCGAGGAGAAGCTAGGAAGCTGGAAGACGCTGACGTTAAGTCAAAAGTAACCAGAACACGTAAAATACCATCAGCGACAGGAAAAAGAGGGAAGGTCTTTGAGAACTGACAGAAGTTACTATGAATTTGGTATGTAAAAGACCAGAAAGTCCACATAGTTAATAAACTGTGAGGAAGCAGAAAGAGAGTAAGCAGTCAATGGAAGAAAATAGAGATGTAATTAGGACAGAATACAAAATTTGATACTTCTAGATGTGAAGATCATGAGCTTGCCCACCTATTTACCCCCAAAACGCCAGAAACTCCAGTAGGATTGCTCTAGGAAAAACAAGGCGGAACGTGATGCTAATCTTAAGATTATTAAATAGTTAACGTCAAATAGAATAGCAGCTTCTCACGGATTATTACACTTGCTTGGACCAAAAAAAAAAAAAAAAGTGGAGCAGTTAACAAGCTGAGAAACTCCAGCTTCAGTAATCAGTCACATCAGTTGAGTTAATGCCATATTAGCAATAGGCATAGGAATGTTTCTGGACTGCCTGAGTTTTGGACTGTAGTGCTAAATTCCTCCTAAGCATCACTGCCCTAGATCACTGAGACAAAAGACTATAGCTATGTTTGCCCTGAAAAGCGAGGATGATCGGAAAGAGGAGAGTGCAAAACTCCAAGAATAGTGTATACAACTTCATGTCCTTCACTATGTCACAAACCGTTGGTTTGTAGAGAAGCGTATGACAGGAGAGTCCCAAAATAGGCAGCTAGGTGGAAGGACTCCCTATTGTGCATTTGTTCTGCCTGCCAAGTCTGTTTTTGCAAGTTTACAGAGGGCTCAATGTTACATGAATCCTGATCTCCAGAACTCATCCTCCTGCCTAGAGAGCAGAACCAGAGAAGGACAGGCCAGAAAGTGCCCAACTTGCATACTCCTCAAGATAGCAAATTAGTTTTTAGTCTTCCCTTCTTAAATGATGTTTCATCTATGCTTGAGTGCTTCTTCTCAGAATCAGTCACCTTCTAAAACTAAGGAATATAAAACGTTATGATTTCTCCTTTCAAATTTGATCAGGGTATTTAACATTATGATATTCACCTTTAGCACAGCAAGGGGGCAAGACAATCCCAACAGAAGCATCTACCAATAGTCAGCATATATGCAATAAATAATCAGTCAATCCTGATCTAGGTCACTTAACGCCAGTGGGTTTTCTTTTTTTTTTAAGCTTACAGTTAGGAAAAGTGATGCAAAAGCTTAATTCATTAAATTTTGTTCTTTAATTTTTCTGAGCAAAGCAGAGCATGATAGATGCCATTCCAGGTTACAAGAAATCCCCAGTATTTTGGTGGAGGCTAAAAAATTGAAAAGTTTTACATGTAGGTTTAAAGTCATAGAAAGGACATCCCAACCTCTGCCTGAATTATCTTTTTAATGGAACTTTAATACCTGAAAGAGAATACTCATTACCAACTGGCTAATCTTGTAAGTTTTGTTTTTTTTTTTTAAAAACATGTTTCATTTTCCATTTTTGTAAGACTTTGTTAATCTAGTATCCATTTGTGGATATCTAAAATTTCATTTCCACATTATCATACCTATAAGCGTTCAAAGTCAGTTTTAAGCCAGATAAACATATCTTCATACTTATAAATCAGATTTTACAAATGAACTTGCAAATTCATATGTGCACCCATTTAACACCAAAAAGACACCATACTATAAAATTCTGGAAGTTCCTCCTCAGTTCAAAGTCAAACAACAGCTTTCCCAGTTTGAAAAAATATGGCCAAATAATGTGTTCTCTGCCAACGCACCAGTGCGCCAGGTGTACAGAGTCACAAAGCACGAGATCTAGCAGCCTAACACCTAACAAAATAGATCAGGTCTTTTCAGGCAAAGCCCTGCTTTTATAAAGCCACTGTAACCAACTGATAAGGAAGATGAGGTATCCACTGCAGAACACAGCTCTAACTGCCAAAGCAAACCCTATAGCGCGTGGTTCAAGCTCCAGATCATCTTTCTTATTCACCAAGAGCGACAGCCTGCTGACAAGCAGGCAGAGACATCTAGCCACTATGAGCCTGTGCCAGGAAGAGAAAGAGGAGCCACAGGGAAGGAGACATGTCTGTGCAACTCTTAAACAGGATCTGCAATTTCAGCCAGCCTTCTGCGCAGATGTATGCTAAAGCATGCCAACTACCATCCAATACACTGGATAGTAGGAAAGCTCAGTTTTAACGGTACTAACTACTGCAATCATAAAACCCCAGGAACTTATTCAAAAAAATTAAGATCACCATCATGTGATAACAAGTAAAGTTCATGAAATCAGAAATGTAGGTGTGAGCTACTCTTCCTAGTATGCATATTCTAATTATCTAGCACATGAAAGTAGTCTGCATCAAAACTATTCACTCATAAAGCAAGGGTTCTAAATCAGAGGATAAAGTTGAGCTTCTTAGTCATCTTCAAAGCTTATACTCAGATGACCCAGTCTTTTGGGATCACCCAACTTCAGAAAGAAGAGGGGAAAAGAATATGGAAAAAAAAATCCAATTCCTTACTGTTTGATTGCTTTATTTCCAACATATCACATCTTGCAAAACAAAAGCAGTGTAATATTAACAGCAATGCATAATTTTACATTCAAAAGCAAAGAGGCACATCCACAAAGGTATTTCAGTGCTTCTGCATAATCTCGGGCACTTCAATGGAAATTCAGCACTTTGCATATAAAGGCCAAAGAGAATAAAGACAAGCAGCGCCTCCTGTGGTTGGAAGTGACGCTAAAGAAAGAGAAGAATAACAGCCACATAATGCGTGAAACAACACAGAAATATGTTTTTTTTTTTTTAAATGAAAAGGCTGCCTCACAGTAGATATGGCACTGAAAACAGAAGAAACTGAAAATATTACTTCAAAACAGTAAGAATGCAAGTCTGAAGTAGCAAGAACACACAGCAGGGGGGAGGGGAGATAGGGAGATATTTTATCATACATTTAATTGAATTTCAGAAGAGCCAAGTAAATTCATGAGTTAAAAAGTACATTGCAAATGACCACAGGATAGTGAGAACAAGCTGCGTTCCAGGACAGTACACATCTGTAAGAGTTTCAAACTGATTTTCCTTCCTTCCTTCAAAATTACCTTTCTAAAACCTCTATGCTTTCAGATCATACAAAACAGCAAATGAAGAACAAGACTGTTTGAAAAAGTCTGGGAAAAATTTTATTCAGTAACACTGATTTTTACTACCAGAGTCAAGTGTAAAAGTAGTAGTTTCGCAAAGGTGAGATTTTTGTGTGTACATATGTG